TTTGTGTGGAGAATATGCTCCTAATAGTTATTGACACCTCTCTTGAGTGAACAATACTTCTTAAAGCAAATTCTGTTTCTATCATTATTTGGAACAACTTGCACCTTTGTGTGGAAACAACTCTTGAGATAACATATGTTGAGAAAAGATAAGTGTTATCTCAAGAGAGTGTTCACTGTACATGACGCATTTCTGAAACATATTTTTATTAAAATAATATTAACATCTGTTCCTCTATTTTAGTTTTGTATGGTTTCATAAACATTATGTTTGGTTTCTTCTGCCAAAGGTTTGGTTTTGAGATAAATTTTGCACATTTCTTATAAGATCAAAATTATGAAAAATATATTTTATCTCAAATTTTATTTACGTTAGTCTACTAATATTTAATTTAGTCTACTGTTAAGTGACATTGTTTGAAATGATGAATGCAGTTAATTACCTTATCTAATGAAAATTTTGACCACGTAATTGCAATTTATCATCAGATATGAAAAACAAATTTTTCCATCCATCACGTTTTTATCTGGTATGTTCTCATTAGAAATGCCGACGCCAGCAACTTCGGAAAAGTAATTTAATAAGTTTGGATTTTTTTTTTTGTATAATTTAAAATTTTAAAGTTATTTTAATTTTTATTTATTTATTTCATTTTATTATTCTTTAAGTTATATTGTTATTTTAATTTTGTATATATGTTTTCTATATTTTTAAATTTATTTCTAATTGGTAAATATTTTTTATAAATTAATTTTTTTTATTTACATATAATAATTTTAATCCATTTTATTTTATTACATATGAAGTTTTATTTAAAATTTAAGTACACTCTTAAAGTTAAAATTTATTATTAATAAGAAAATAATTTATATACATAAATTTTTATTTACATATTACATATTTACTTAATTTTTATTTATTTCATTTTATTACACTCTAAGTTATATTATTATTCCTATTTTTTATATATGTTTTTAATATATGCTCCCAAAATTAAAATTTATTTATAATAAGTAAATAATTTATATACATTAATTTTTTAAATTACATATATGTTAATAATTTTAATTAATTTTATTTAATACTATTTTTTGTTATATTATTATTTATATTTTGTGTATGTGTTTTTTTTATTGTTTGCAATTATATTATTATTCTAGATAAAAGAGGGTGGCTTACTAGATACTGTACAAACCCAAGTCACTGAAGTGGCTAGTAAGGTTCGTAGGTTTAGTAGCTAAAATTTTTGTCTACGCTACTAAATACGTAATAACTGAATATTATATATTATTAATAACTTATTTTTCTCATTCACACAGGTTACAGATATAAGCAAACGTGGCTGGAACAATTTAGCTGGCAGTAATGTATCATCACCACAAGGTGGCAACAATACTGGCTACGGTGATTTCAATCAAGATAATTCGTATCAACGTTCACATTCTGTTACCGATAATATTACCAGTGGTCTAGGCGGACAAAGTGGCGCTAGCGACAATGACTGGCATTGGCAAGATAATCAAAATACCAAACAATTGCCAACGTCTAGTTCTTATAATCAATTCAATAGTAGCACTGTCCACGAAGATGATTGGTCAGGTTTTGAATCAGCAAATTATCAAGATCCAACCACTTCTTATCAAAATACGCCAACCGCAAACAGCATGAGCGGTCAAACAGCAGCGATAGCGCGTAAAAATATGAAACTACAAAATACCACACAGAAACTTAGTGAAGGTTTTGAAAATTTGGATGTGAAGAATGTGAAACCGAAAACAGCGAACACCGGAGGAAAACCAACCGCTGAAGATGATGCTTGGAATTTGTTAATGAATTAATTAGAAAATATTATATGTTGTTTTTTTTTTTTAATTTCATTTCAATTTTCATTTATGCATATTATCTATTTTTTATTAACGACAAACGTTATATATATATATGTCTATATTTTATATGTTTTAAACGATATTTTATATATTTTAATGCATGTTGATATTCTGATGATTTCATTGATGATTTTATGTTTATTTTCAATACACTTAAATTTAAGCAAATCTATTTTTTTAAATGTGTTAAATCTTTTAAAGAATATATATTATATACATTTGTGTGAAACCCATTAACTATGCAGATAACTTGAAAGTCCTTATTTCTACTTATATAGCAAAATTTAATTTAAAACAATTTGAATCTTATAAAATATATATTATTATGTGTGTATAATCTAGATATGAAACACAATTTAGAACGAATTGATGAATAAATAAATTGTAATCGATTTAAATGACAGAAAGGAAACAGAATTGTAAGTCTGAAATTATTTTTAAAAATGTAGAATGGAAATTTTTTTAAGTGTTCCATTTAAAAAGAATAAAAACCTCTCTGATGTACAATTATGTACTAAGGATCCATGTACTTTAGCGCAATTAACAGGTGTTATTAAAGCAAAACACTATAGCAGGCGAAAATATTATAAATACTGGTTCCAGCAATAGTCAAGTCTACGCTCCAAAGTCACTAGTCTTTTCAGACATCTGTATTGGCTTGCCTTTCCCACCACGAATTACAATAACTACTTAAAAGAATTTGAGCTTAAAGTCTTTAAAAATACTGGTTCTAAGAACGTCTACGCTACAGAGCACCCCGTCTTTTCAGACGACTTCTTTTCCAGCGCGGATTACAATAAGTGCTTGTTGTAACCCGCAGGGACCTATTCGTGGAATCCTTCTAGGGAAAGTGGAACAGCACTCAATCGTCGAGATTAATGAGCGGCTCCGGGACGAAGACCTGGCCGTTCTTGAAACCACAACAACTGCTTAAAAATGGTTGCAGATATATTACTGCAATCCTATATATTACGGCTATCTTCTGAATCAATTGACAAAAAGAATAGATGGATTAAAAACAGAAAACTTTCAGCGACTTATGGAAGAGAAATTCAAAGAGAATTTAATATCACAAAATATAAAGATTTGATTTAATTTTCGTTGGAAAAAGTTGCTGTCGGAGACCTTACATACCAGAAAACCTGAGCTATAATCTGTATTTAAATATCTAATCAGAAGAAAGCGATGATACTATGAAGGTAAGTGTAATCGATGTAATAGAAGGGAAAACACTATTGAAACGGTATTGGAAAAGGAAATCAAAGATTCATTTGCTGTGAGAAAGACTTACTGACATGATTCTGAATTCTCAGTGCAGCGAAGTACTGCGACCGTAGACCTTTTATGGTAGAAACCGGAACTATAATCTTTTTATAAATACCTATTCAAAATAAACTGATGATAATATATGGTTAGTACAATAGTTGCAATTGAGACGAGCAAAGACATTAATATTGAAAAAGGTCATGTCGTAGGTTTTTGTAGCCTACTGGAGCTTGCTTGTGAAATCCCTTCAGGAGGTGTAGAACGGCACTTGGTCGTCGATGGTGACGAGTGGCTCCAGGACTTGCCTGACCGTTCTTAGAACCGTTATTGAAAATGGCAGCTACATAAAAAAGGTTTTCCTAATGGCAATCCAGTTTATTAACATGAAACAAAATGCAAAACTAAATCATGCTATTATCAATCGAAATTATCTCCACTCAATACCTCCTATTAATCTATGTAAGATATTCAATGATAACATAACAATTCATTTTGACTGAACTAAAGCTGTTAAAAATAATGGGTTTTGCCAATAATGTAGAACTCCTCACACATATATATGTATGTATATATAATGAAGTAAAAACCATCCTTGTATAAAACATTTTGATCAAAATTGCTTAAGGCATGCTCAGTTCATATATGCAAGTGAAGGTAAGGCCTCATCAACGCAGTTCTCGCGAAATTGACTTCAAGGAAGATTATGCTTATGAAATTTTGATAACAAGTAATCCTGACCATAGATTTCATTACCTCCCAAACAAAAAATCAATATATTTTTAACATTAATTTGTATACTATTCTATTCTATCCAAATCCTGCTTATTAATAATAAATATTTTCAGAAACATTTATGTAAATAATATTTTAGTTTAATATATTTTAGATTACAATGACATTTGATGGCATATGTATACATTTCTCTTATGATTCTTATCGATATTTGTAATATTAATAATTTTATAAACGTAAATAATACTTTCTGGTAATAAATCTATGACTTATGTTGGTGCATCCTTCTATAACAATTGACGTTTTCGCTTACGGCGTTTACATTGCTGTTTCATATCTGGCAGCTATTGCTTCTGCACGCATTTCTTCTTCGAACTTTTTCGGTCCAGGCACCGGCGTTTTACCATTTTTCAGGCAATTGTCAATATGAGCGGCTTTCCATTTTGAATATTTGCGATTATGTACCATTTCGTCTGTAAGATCTCCAAATGTTTGTAGCACATCATAAAGAACACCACAATTAGTAAATGTCTTAACTATATTTCTAAAAATATAGTCATAATTATAAATATAATATAACGAAATATTTATTTAAACTAACGTGTTAAATTTTCCTTCACGATCTTGTTTGTCTGCATTAGCGAACAAATTAAGTACATGATTTTCCATATAAGCTTTGGCTGCAGTTCTAACGGCTATTGTTTCCTTAGTACCATGTGCGTTTTTTATTTCTTCCATCTCGTACATGAGTACTAAGAAAAAGCATAAATATATCATTTGTTCTTTATGTTAAATTTTAAAATTTTATACTCATCAACAATTGCATTGCTTCTGGTGACTTCGTCGTGTTATTAAGCATCACCTCGGTGGCATATAGACGCGACCAATAGGCAATAACATAATCGCTTGCATCATGATCGCGGGAAATCTGTAAAAACGGTAATAAATCCTTAAGACTAGGTTGAAATCGCGCGAACTCCATTTCGTCTCCAATCAGCTTTTGATAAATATTAACAAATTTAAAAAAATAAGTGCTACCAAGTTCCCTTTTTACTATTCTAACTTCTGTTCACTTAATTCTTATAAATACCAATAGGAAATGGAATCAAGTTATGTATGTTACTAAATAGTTATTTTTCTTCAATATTTGTTATTATTTATACAACTTATAATATTAGTTGTATTCGGAAGCTCCGAAGGATGGTGAAAAACAACAAGTTGTTTGCTAAAGTTCCTAATTTGTACGCAAAACAACAATATTAATTTCCCTATCTAAACGATTAGTTATAAAGTGGCCAAACATCTTAATGATTTTTTTTTCACATCAAAGACTTAACATCTTAGCGACTGCTGTATAACGCTAAGTTTTTTGAAATATTTATATATTAAAATTATTGAATGCGTATTTGTGATTTTAGTGAGACTGAAATTGCATTATTTAAAAATAAAGAAGAAGTATGTGCAACAATACAAAATGTGTCGAAAATTAAACTCAACCCCTCAAAAATCTGGGCAAGTGCCTTTCTTGGCAAATATCGTAACCATCTCATGGGTTATAAATCCTCAGACATAAACGTTCGAATTGAAGGCTCTGTTATTAAAATTATTAATAAGCGAAAATACCTGGAGGTTGTTCTAACTTCAAAATACAATTTCATTCCGTAAATTAATCACATCAATAACAACGCCACTCTTGAACGCCATCAGTTTAAAAATGTGTTACACCGACACAATTTGCTAAATGTGTAAATAAAACTTTTTGGCTACAAGTAACTAATACGACCACTCATTTCATATTAAGTGCGAAGTCTCATTCGCTCAAATGAAATGCCTTCGAGTATTTAAAAGGATAACGCTTTGGAACTACATTAATTGGAAGCGCAAATCCGATAGCTTTTTTATCCTTTCATAATACAATTTGCATTACAATTCGATTTTAATTTCAGTTGATATATTTTTGAATGGTTTCTGCTTCTGTGATGAAGCAAACTATAACTTCACTATAATCGTAATCAGAGGTAAATAAGCAAAATTACAATTAAAATTTCAATTTTTATTTATTATTTTATTTAACAAAGAAAGTTGACCGGTAAGAGAGATTCATCTATTAAAATTCATGTTAATGGAAACAATATTTGGTGGGTTAATCGTTGAGTTAATTAAGGTTTAAATTTAACAAAAGGTATTAAATTTCAATTTTAACTTGAATGTAAGTAATCGAGTAAATAGAAAACTGTTATTTCGGGATATAAAATATTTAAACATTGCTATTGGATTTATATGTAATATGTAAAATATAAAGATTCTTAAGAAATGTTACATCCGATATATTATCAAAATTTTTAAAATTATTTTAAGTGGGCATTCGCTGAACATGCCCGTGTTTCTATATCATCGAAACAACATACATTTTTTGCAAGACCAAATGAAATACCAGTTGGATTTTTCAGTGTGACGCGGTTCAGTAACAGAAATATATCAAGTCTCTTTATGTGAGTTTTAGAAAAAAATTTTGTTATAATTTAAGTTTTTTAATTTAATTTTTTTATAAACTATATATCTATTTATTAATTTTCGAAGATTATATACATATCATTTATTATTATCAATTAGAACGGAGGCATAAGTGAATATGTTTCCAACTGGGTAGTAATATTTTTGACAAATAAAACAATGTTTAACAGATGTGTCAATAAATTTGACATTTCATAGTCTGGAGAAAATAAACGAAAGTTATGGATCGCAGTTCTATAAAGTTTTTACATCGTTAATGTATGCTTTACGGGAAATATATTTTTTAAATTATATATTTAATAATATTTTTGGAGAACTCATATGTGAAACAAGTAAAAAAAAAATTTTTATATACAATAAAGGGTGAATGCATATGTGCCGTACACATCACAGGTAAGCAAAACATTCGCAACCTTCAAGGAAAAATCAATCAAATTAGCTTCAAACAAAACTAAATACAAACTAAATTAATTGAATAAAATTTAATAGATTTCAATTCCGTTAACATAAAAATTTGCATTTTAATATGCAACTCAATTGTAAGATTTGCTTTATTTTGCACTAAAAAAATAAGATGAATGACAAAAAAATTAATTTGCATACAAATTTTATTAGAGTCGCTGTTATGAATGTATGATAATCACAGGGGAGTATAATAAAATTTTTAAAATATAATAATTTAACATTTTTAAAATTGCAATATTTAGAAACAGTTTAGTAATTTAAAGTCTTAATATCTTGTCAGGTTTATGCTGGCGTCATCAAAAATTATAAAAAGAAAGTCTTTTACGATTCGCTCATGGTTTGCTAACTGGGCTTAGTAACATTTTGCACCCTACATCAAATGCGTAAGGCATATCAATCGTGATAAATTTTGCTGGTTATTAAATTTGCAATTCTCATACTTGTGTAAAACAAATTGCGATATCGTTATTTCAGATAAGTTTTTTTTTTTCATATAATTATACAGTTATAAAAACTATTGAAATTATTGTTTACATACGTTTCAGATAAGATCTTACCGGCTTTTACGCTAATTTTTGACAACTCCATTCGATAAGCAATCTAAAACGCTTTGTTTACAAATTTTATTATCAATTGATTGCAGTCGTTCGAATCTTATTCATAGTAGACTTTATTAATTATCATGTTGTGCACTTACAAAAAAAAGTTGCGTGTAGTACTGTGAAATAGTAAAAAAAAACTTTAAATATAATTACTGTAGAAATAGGTATATTTCGTATTATTGTATATTTTAACAGGGGAATGAAAATAGATATTCATATTTGTTATTTTCACTTTCATTTTTCATTTACAAAAGTTAACAAAGTGATGAGCACAAAAAGTCATATATATCCACGTACGGTTGTTCTAATAAATGAATTCCCCTTTTTACACTCACTACCTTATGAAGTTTCGTTCTCTATATTTTTCTAGCTCCACTTATCATTTCATCCAATGTTTTTTATATCTAAATTATAAAAGAAATTTGCTTTACCTTATCATGCGAAATATGTCGAGTTCATAGCTGATTTAGTTATTTTTACCTTTGAAGCTTTTACTTTTTTTTTACTTAGATTTTTTGAAGGTTTCTATCGAAATGTATTATAATTCATTATCATATCTTCTACAGTCGGAAATCGAATCAATGATCCATTTTAAATAATTTAAAAAAAAATAAATTTTTGATAATATAACAAACCTTTAAATAAAATTATTTTATCTCTCTGTAATCAGTTTTCTTGGTGTTTGGTGTACAGCAGAAATCCATTAAATTTTTTATAGTAAAATAAACAGAACATTAGATTTTTGCAAAAAAAAAAAAAAAAATACAAAAATTGTTTATACTTTTTTTAAAATTATTTCTCCTAATTATATTTTTAGATTTGTATTGGAATTATTTCGATAAATTTGTGCGAAAGTAAGAACAACACACCAGAGAAAGACCGACCGCAAAGTAAAACTCGTGTGTGAAAAACACAATTTAGTGTTTTTCGTACGCTTCCCGACAAGAATTCGAAAAAAATCACAAAAATATTGGAAGAAATTTATCAGTGAAAGTGTTGGTCTTTTCAAAAATCCTACGGATGTGCCCAGAGACAACTATAATGAGACCATAGATACGTACTCAACAATCGGAAAAAAAAGAAAGTTACAAAATTGTTTAGTGAAAACTATTTGAGATAGTATAAATTAAAGTGCATACTAAATTAATATATATATAATATATATATATATATATATATATATATTTTCTTATATATATACAATTTTTTTTTTCTAAATAATTGTTAACGAGAAGAGAGAAAGACAAAATTTAAATAAGCACAAATTAAGTATTTAGAATGGTTAATAAAGTAGAACTGAGCAAGAAGAGTGCTAAAACTACAACAACAACAACGGAAAATACTGAATGGAATAGCTTAAGCGGTGAAGCTGATTTCGCAACTGATTCGTCTTCATCTAATAAAGTGACAATAGTTAAAACAAATACTACGACAGATAATGCAAATACTTCACAAAATGTTCCTCTTTCAGCAACTCCATCTCAACATAAATTAATACCAATAACAAGTGTTTTAAATACTGAACCAGAAAATTCAAGTAATCAAAATCAGCAATTAACCTTAAAGAGCTCAACTATAGCCCAACTGGCGCCGAATGTTTCATCTTTCCAAAAATTTCTAAATAATAATTCAAGCAGTAGTAGTCATACACAATTGCCTAGTGAATTGCCACATGAAGATGAAGAACGATTGGAGAAGCTCTTCAAGAGTCTCGATCGCGACGGCGATGGCAGAATCGATATACATGATTTGTCTGAAGCATTGCGAGAGTTTGGACTTTCGAGTGTGTACGCTGAGGTATGTAAATCCAAATAAGAAGTGATTCTATCATAAAATATTCGTAGAAGATTTTTCCAAAATTTAAAGTCTTTAAAAGTTGACTATAAAAATTTTCAAGCCTTATTTCTCTGTTTTTGTACCTGCGGACATTTTGAGATTGCTGTTATGTTGTTATTGTAACCCGCAGAAATCTGTAAAGCAGATGACATTAAAAGAATTACTTTTCGAAGATATGGGTTATGATGTGAATAGGTAATGGTTGTGTAAAAGGGGAGGGAATTATTGGAAAATCAGATTAGGGATAAGTGGGATTTCAATAAATGTCAAAGTACTGCTATTATAATCTATCTCTCTAGGAAAGACTAGTGAATAGCATCAAATTATATAGTTAAAACTTCAAAATATATCTCCCGTACTGCAGTGTATACATGAAAGGGAACAAAGAAGCAACAATACAAATGCAAAAATTATGTACAACTAAAAAACTAATTTGCAACAAAAAAGGGTAAAAGCGTATTTGCCGAAACACGTATAGAAAATATACTAAAATCCTGAAAAACCAAATAACTTTACTTTAAAAGAGGTATTGTCTTGTGTATTATAAGAATATAGTTTTCATTTAAGTTGTAAGTGTGAAATATTAATTATTCGTTGCAATGAATTCCTAAAATTTTGTTATATAATTCTGAATTTGTAACATAACGAATTTCTTTTGATTTATTATGATGTGTTAAAACTTCTAAATCATTTCCAACCCTTATTTTTCTACTAGAAATAGCGCAGTTTTAAAGTTAAAAGTTCATTTCATTTAGTGATCATATATACCTATGTCATTTTTCGTTGTAACACAGCTAGTTCCCTCGTTTGTTTTTGTTGTTTTTCGTGATAACCCATGTAGATAACCCATGGAGATCTATACTGCAATTAACAAATACGAATACATCGATTAGATTAGGATAGTCCACTCATTTGCTGTTGTTTTAGTTGTGATAAGCCATTGAGATCTATTAGGCATATAGTATATTTGAAATAACAAATGCGAACACATGGATTAGTATATAATTGGGTAAGTGTGAAAGGTAGGAGTTTGGGAACAAGAATGAATTAAAATTGTATGGGATTTTAATTAGAGCTAACCCAGATCAAGCCGGTCATTTCACTAGTCATTTCAATGACTAGGATGAAGTCAAAGCTCCCTTTTTTGTGGGAAAACCTGCTGAGTTCCCAACCTTTATAAACCAAGTAATTTTGTTGGACACAATGCAAGTAAATAGAGTAGTTAAATATATGGGAGACGACAGTAAAAGTGATTGAAGTAATATTAAAATTAGGCCATGGCATAATGTAACGAATCTTATCACTTTAATATGCAACGAGGCATGAAAACGGATTAAACCTTCCCTAGAATGAAGATTAGACCTTCATTTGAGACATACATAGGAAATTAAAGAATTGTTATATCATTAGAAACCCTTTAAAAAATATTAACTATACGTAAAATAGCATCAAGGCATAATATATGTACATTATAAGATGCGATTTAAAATTCAAAATATTATTAAAATCTTTAGAATCTTAAATCTCTAGAATAAATCTTTAGATTTATTCTTTAGAATAAAATCTTTAGAAATATAAGAATCAATTTTGTTGAAACTTATTCTAGATATTTTTTTCTTATTAGCCTTCTTTTGTCAAGTATTCCTAGTCCATGATGTTTTGTTTCTGTTATAGTTTAATGATTTTATAAACAACCGAAATATAAAAATAAAATTATTTCTTATTTTTTCTTCTTTTGCAATTATATATTTTTGAATATTTGACATCTCTAACAAAAGAGTTAAGCTATAGATAAATAATGTCGCCAAGTGGAAAATATAAGAACAATTTTTCTTCTCTTCGCAACAGGCTCAGTACGACACCCATTTCAATCAGAGCTCGTTCTTTAATAAAAGCCAGACCCATTCAAAAATCAATACGGCACCATATATATCAAGAATAGAAATATTGTAAAATTGCTATGATATATTTGTAAATCATTGAAAGATGTATAGGAATAGACTCTGTAATACGTACTCTTTATTTATTGAAGAAGAAGAATTATTGTTTGTTTATACATATCTCTGTATATAAGTTTGTTTATCTAATTATTTGTATACAAACTAGTCCATCAATTTTTGTGCGAACATTAAAAGGCTTTACACAGTTGTTGTATTTACAAAGATGAGGAACAAATATGCTCAGATATTTTCGTATGTATTGTTTATAAAGTTTTGGATTTCATTAAATATAAATATAGTTTTTGTTTTGTTTTTGCAAAAAAGCAATCTCAAATAAAGTTAAAAATACTGTCATATAGCTAATATAAATATTATTTCTAAATGAGGATTATTATTATAAATTAACAAAAAAATTACTTTGCAATTTTTATTTCACTAATTTTATTTATATACTCAGATATATAGTATGTCCAACTAACTAAGTCTGTTGATATATATTTACTTTCCTCAGCGACAATAAAATTTGCATACATAGCATATATAGTATATTGTATCGAATGTGATGCAAAGTGAACTTGACTAATGTTCTCCACGGAGCCTCAACTAAATTCGCTTAAAATGAGCACAACAAATTTGAGAAGAAAAAACAATTAATTTTTTATCTGAAAGCGCAAAGTACAAATAGAAAATTATACATTCGCTTCTCGATGTACACGTCATTTTTGTGCCTCATTCACACCAAAATCGAATATCATCGAACCAGAGAAGCCAGAAGAAGTGCCAGACAGACTTTGTACTAGAATAAAATTAACCAAATTACGTCTCGAAACTTACTCACATATATTTGCTTAATTTTATCTTTATTTAGCTAATTTTTCCTAAACTCTTTTAAATATTTTTTTATCTTCTTTTTTTTTTGTATTGAAAAATAATGCCGAATTCTTTTGAGAAATTTGGGAAAAAAATTTGTGTAGAATTTTTAAACTTTTGGCTTTTTGGCAGCTTTTGCTCGCTTAACAATTGTTATTGTAATTTCAATTTTATTTTATTTCTATTGAAATATGCTTTTGTGTCTTTTATCATTGGCTGGTATCTCATTTTGTATAATTTATTCAAATATTTTTTGACAAAATTCCTAATTAAACATAAAATAATGCGCACGTGGCGTTGCATCTCAAATCAATGCCAAGAAATGCTCGTGCTATATTTTGAATTAATAGATATTTTTAATATTTTTAAATAATCGATGATAAGTACTCAAAACTATAACCCCTCTAAAATAATGGCCTATTTAATAAATGCTTAATAAATATATCTTTTAATCTAAGAGATGGTTTCATATAAAACATTCGTAATAATAAATATTAATTTCTTCCGCTTTAATTGTTTATTCAAAAATCAAAATCAAATTAACATACAATGTGTTAGAAATAATGTTTTTGAAGTTCACTTTGTCTCTAGCAGTATGTACCAAGTCTCCAATAGTTCTTAACCCAGTCCAGTATCGGATGTTCCTCAACCAAGGCATTTGTTTTCTTCCCATGCCGCGTTTGCCTTCAATTCTCTCTACCACAATCAGTTGCAGCAATTCATATTTTAAACCTCGGATGAGATGATCAAAATACCTCGTTTTTCTTATTTTGATAGTTTTTAGAACTTCTAACTTTTAGAACTTCTTCATTTGAAATTTTGTCCATCCAGAGAATCTTCAGAATACGTCTGTAGCACAATATTACAAATGCTTCAATTTTGTACATTGTTAGAATTTTTAAAGTCCAAGATTCCAAACCATGTCTGATCCATTCTAATCAGACATAGCATTTAACGTAGCGAATGGGTAAGTTGATTTGATGTTGCTATTGCATACCACTTTTTTGAATGTGTGGAAAGAGTTTGTAGCCATCTTTATTGTTTTCTTGATCTTATGTCCACTCTTCATTTAATTAGCAACCAAGGTATTTAAACTTAGCTACACGTTCAATAGCTTCTGTTCCAATTTTAATGGTAGCATTGTTGTATGGTATTAATTTAGTATACGATCGGGTCTATGTTATATAGACCCGATTATATAGACATAATTATTATTTAATATTTTGATTTATACTTTTTAATTATATTATATTTTATTATAATATTATTTGTATAGTATAATATATAAATAATAATACAAATTAAAAATGATATCAGTACCCTGAAGATGACTCTAGACTATAGTCGAAATATCGGCACAAATTAAATATATTAATTAATTAAATATAAATATAATTAATCAATTAGCTTGTTCAAACATATAAAAATAAAATTTGGTCTATCGTATTTAAAATTTCAGATCTAATTTAATTGGTTACGTATCTAATACCAATATGTAAATAGTAATGCGTTACTCTTTCCTGCACATTATGATACGGCCTATAACCATCATCCTTATCCATTTTCTTTAAATGATATTTAAGCTTTGAGTAACTTTGAATTAGTTTAGCTAAATTCTTTAAATCTTTGTTGCTAAGAATAAAAATAGCTTTCATATTAATTCGTTTATAGTAACTTAGTTTCTTACCATTTCACATAACCTATTAAGCCTTCCTGAAGTCATTAAAGTTGTGTTCTTCCTTTCTGTAAATTAAATTATTTTTAAAATTATTGTTGCAATTACATTAAGACTGAAAAGTTTTCGGAAATTCTCATTTAAAATTCGCGCGCTGTATATTTTTCGATATTTTAAGTTTATGTAGTTTGGCAGCACTGTCCTTAATTACTATGCCAAAAATGAGCTCGATCTGTCAGACAGTTCGTTTACGGCAGCTGTTGAAACCAGTTCACCTCAGTAGTGCGTTGCGAAATGTCTTCGACGGTCGTACGACCGTCCTGGAAGGCTTTGTACCACTCATAAACTTGAGTTTTCGATAAAACTGATTCCCCATAAGCCTTTTGTAGCATTCGCAACGATTCTGCACACGAAATTTCGTTCGAAACACAAAATTTGATGCAAACTCTTTGTTCAATATTTTTTTCCATTGTTTTTTTCGCAACGCCCTACTGAGGTGAACTGGTTTCAACAGCTGCCGTAAACGAACTGTCTGACAGATCGCGCTCATTTTTGGCATAGTAATTAAGGACAGTGCTGCCAAACTACATAAACTTAAAATATCGGAAAATATACAGCGCGCGAATTTTAAATGAGAATTTCCGAAAGCTTTTCGGTCTTAATGTATGTATATAATTCTGTCATCTTAGGTAGTACAAAGAGCGTTTGTAAACAGTGTTATTTGAACTCTGCTATGGAAATAGGCTATAATGTCGTTCCATGAATAATTCGCATTATGCTGTTCTCTTCCAAGTCAGGGCCAGTTTATATAGACGACGAGTTTGACCCCAGTGATTCGCGTGCTATATTACTATTTGCTATTCTGTCCAATTTCATTTCCGTTTCTGAATTTATTTTCTTTCTCTAGCTATATTGCAATTTGATATTCTATGCAATCTCATTTCTCATCTCATTCCTGAATTCATTTTGTTGCTCTAGAGAGGCTTGTCCTAGTCCTCACATTGATATTCAATATTTTCTGCGGTTACCAGCTACGCAAGACTCTTTAAAGCTATTGATTTTTAAAAGCAAAAATATTTAACTGGACGGTAGTGGGTTGGAACTAAATAGAGATTGCCTGCGTTAAGCTTATTTTCATATTCTTTGTGAACCTCATGAGCTGATATACACGTTGAACTTACAGAGTTTTTGCTAGATAAGGGTTGAGGATTTTCAAAACATTCAACTTTGTCTAAATTGTAAATGAAATTAGATATATTAGAGCTGCTTGACTGTCTGAGAAAATATGTTTGCCGAAGTTTGAGGTACCCCTGCCGTAAACATTCTCTAAACCGTTGCCTAAATTGCGGTATTTCTCATTTCAACAGATTTTTGGAAACTTGATACTATGAATTCAGCTTCTATGGTACCGTCTGCTAGTATTTTGTCTTTTGAATTTTAATTTTAAGTATATATAAGTATGGTATATGGTTTGACCAGCTTCCTAATAGTAGGTATACAAGTACATATATTCGAAGTATGTTATTGCCTTATTCCTTATCATAACATTAACAGAGTATTTTTTAGTTAATTATCGAACATATATTTCTCTATTTTTTTATGGTTTTTGTCTTCTAGAGGTACGTATGTCCATCGAGAAATTCTATCGTTTACATATATCTTTCATTTTGATTTCGATACAAGTTTCAATTTTCTTTTGTGGTCGTTTAGATATTTTTTGGCCTTGCCTATAACTTTGATTTTAAGGAATCAAAAACATGAAACATGTTTTGAATGTATATTTCTCAGGGTAATATTTACTCCAATGCTTTTGGAGAATGATACATATCGTATAGGAAATAACGATAAAGTAGATACTGTAAGTGAAAAAAAAACTATTGCTAGATATAAAACAGGGATGGACCTACTTTACGAATAATGAGACCAATTACATTATTTAAATATTTATAACTGCATAATATCGTCGTTATGTGAACGTAATGGTTCAGCACTAATTATAATGGTAAGATGATAATGATACAAACAGTTTATAATTCATAAGGATTTTATTCATATATTCCTAATGTTTTTTTATTTCACCATTTAAATATTCAAAACTGTCTACACAAATTCCTTCCTTACAAAAATGTAGGTCAGCAAATGTAAAGCGATTATCGCCAAATAAATTTACATTTTGTAGAGACATTTTGTGCTATTTGCGTGATAATAACAATTTGAAGGCAATAAAATTATATGGTTCAAATTATTTGGCAAACACTTGAAGGACAACGCAAAAGGATTATCCTTTGAAATGCTTACACAATTGTCAATAAAAACACAGACAAATTGACGCCTGGTTTACCGAAGTTATTTAAGCTGCTTTTTAAAGTGCTATTTCTGCTATTTATAAAAATGTGAAATAAATTTTCAATTTTTAAAAATTATTTTAAAAGTTTGAAATTAAAAATTAAATTTTTTATTTTACAGAAATTTCTGGAACATTCGGACAAAACTCAAAGTGGAGACGTGGGTCTTGCGGAATTTGTACATTACGTTAGAGAACATGAAAAGAACTTACGGCTACAATTCTCCCACTTGGACAAGAATAAAGATGGTAAGTTCGACTATAAAATGGAGATTAGTAAAAAATAAATATTAATAAATAATTATTGTATCTTCCATAATAGGCAAAGTTGATTTGGAGGAGCTGATATCAGCTTTTAAGGACTTAGGTATTGAAGTTGACCAAAGTGAAGCGAAAAAACTTCTATCAAGGTTTTTTATTATCTATCTATAAGATATAAAGCATCTGATTAATGTGTTTTCTCTATTTTATAGAATGGATCAGGACGGTAGTTTAAATATTAGTTTTAACGAATGGCGAGATTTTCTGTTGTTGGCACCATCCACAAATATACACGATTTAATAGTATTTTGGCGGCACTCTACTGTAAGTAAACTCGTAAATAATATAGAGTTGGACTAGAACTAGTAATGTTATATTTTTGCTATGACATTTATTTAGTTTTGTATAAATGTTGCAATATTTTTATTACTTTACTAATACTACTTATAATAATATATATACATATATATATTTTTAAAATATTTTATTCATTCAATTAAGTTAGTTTTTAATAGACTTTAAAGATTATTTTTAACTTTATTCCATATATTTGTATTGAGCTTTTTAATCTATTGTTAATCCTGTATATATAATAAAATATTTATTATTGCATATTCATAATTACCTATATATACTTCTCCATTAAAAAAAAATAAAACCCTTTCTCAATTTATTTTTGCTAATAAATCAAGTTTTCCGCTATACACAAATTATGACTAATAGAGGAAGATTTAAAGGTACTTTTTGAGATATTTATATGCAATTGTTTAATAGCTTAGCCATTATCCTCCTTCCTCACACATTTGAAACATTAAGAATTATAATTAGAGTTTTTTGTTTTATTTATTTATTATTCATTTATGATTCCTCAAACTTCAATTGAGCAGTTTTTCACTGATTTGTTTTAAATTCAATACAATTATATGCTTTTTTAATTTGTAAGCGAAGTGTTGATAAGTATCTCAGTATAATAATGTGCGGTCTGGACAGATTTTCATATTAAATGCATATGACATTTGATGACTAAAATTGTGTTGATTGCTTTTCTGTTCCAGAAAACAGTTGCTTCTGATAATCCGAAATGTTTATTTAAATTTTTTAATTTACATTCATGTATTTAAATTTGTAGTTCAGTTTTATGTTTTAGTATCATTTTTATTTCAACTTGAAATGGTATTGTCAGAGAATATCGTGGACACGGTAATAAAAGTTAAACAATTTATTGTTGTTCTCTATTTATATTAATTTACATATAAATAAATTTTATATTAAATAAAATATAATTTAAATTTCTATAGTATTACTAAATAGAGCACTGCATATGTTTAGGTGTAAAGATTTTAAGCTCTGTTCATAATCATAATAATTTTTATAAATGAACAATTTGATTATCTTGAAATTTTTTCGATGCTGAATCATAGCGCGATTCATACTTTTATTTGATCTTATAATTGTGCTTCTGGCTTTAAGTATTTTAAAGTGATTACTAATGTATGCAAATAATTTATACAAACAATTTTTATAGTCTGTTTTCAAACTTCAAATTAAATCTTGAGTTTGTAAGTACTGTAAACACTTTATTGAACGAATGATTTCTTGCGAATAGACTACATTCGTAATATCAAAAAATTCTTTAAATCGTATGAATATATTAAACAAAGAAATAGCAAATACCCAGCGGGATACTTGTTGTTGTATCCCGTTGGGGCCTGCTTCTGAAGTTCCTTTGGAAGGTGTCGAATGGCATTTGATCGTCGATAGCGACGAGTGGCTTTGGAACATAGTCCCGACCGTTCTTAAAACCTACTTCCTAGATAATGTTTTATAGCTCATTGTATGGATATCTTAAGTGTTCTACAGCATTTTTGCATCTATTTTTTTGTGCTTTTTTTGTAGATCTTGTAAAATTATTATTTTAGTGTAATGTATATTATTTTCGAAAACCCATAATATAGAAGTCTTAAGGCTTTAACAGCATATTTGTGGAATATTTTAGATATATTTTAGTACGTAGTAGAGTAGTTCAGTTATTTTCTCTTGAAAGTTATTTTTTTCTCATTATTTTTATGTTCCCAATAGGTTTTTTATATAATGTCAAATTGTGGTTTTGGCGTGGTGTGTATTATTTCTCTAAAAGTTTAGAAGTTTTAAGCTTTCCATAGTAAATTCGTAGAGCATTTTAAGTGTTGTTTTAGGGAATCATTTTTTTCGCTTAAATTTCTTTCATTGTTTAAATATATATGCACGGCATCAATCCGTCTTCAGCCATTCTTAAAAATAAAATTTTTACAAAAAGACGTAGTTTTAGAGAACAAGCCCAATTAATATTTACAAAATCTTTACGTTAGATATTTTATCGATATTTTATATATTGTTGTTTATATATTATTATTTAAATATTATTATTTTTATATTATTATTTATATGTTATTATTTATATGTTATTATTTATATATTATTATTTTTATATTATTATTTATATGTTATTATTTTTACATTATTATTTATATATTATTATTTTTATATTATTATTTATATATTATTATTTATATGTTATTATTTATATATATTATATATTATATGTATATATTATTATTACATATATATTTAAATATTATTATTCATAATATATACAAAATAAATTTGTCTACTAATTCTGATATTCATACAAAATTTAATTTATTTATACTATTTGATGAGTCTTGTAACTGTCATTCACTTGATTTATTGATAGTAAATTTTTATTAACTTATTTACTATTTGTAAGATTATTAAAATTAACTATTTTGTTGTTTTATTATTCTAGAAAATTTACTACTATATAAACAATTTAATTTAATGTACTTAGGTGCAATGAAAGCAAATTGCCGTTTACATATTTTAAAACTGCAATATAAAGCACAACCACATTTTCATTAAATTAAATTTAATGAATATATTTTCACATAAAATTTAAATTAAACATAAAATTCTGTAGTTCACATGCTTGTAGGTATTGTTTGTATAACTGTTTTATGTGCAATGCCTGAATTTTATTTTTTTTAAACAAATAATCATTATTTTTATTAATGTTTATCAACATTTTTGAAAGTTGCAGTTATTGTAGTCCTATATATTAACAACTGGGACATTGAACTTATGCGTATATAAGGTCTATAGTTCCATGACCGCGACGAATTCATATATTATTGTATTCTCCTTAGAGTTTTTAATTATTCTTACAGAAGGTCGATACTTTTATTGTAAAAAATATTAAATAATTAATATTAAATATTTATAATGTATCTAGGTAAATTTCCGATTGTACAAAAAGACTGTAGTTCGTTGTATGAAGAGCAGATAAGACTATTTCAGAATCTAACTTTAATGTCAATGAAGTTTATTTTCTGGTCTTGTACATTTATTGAGTCCAAAAAGTAAAATATATTATAGTGGAAACAAAATTAAAGTAGTGCTTATTAATAGAGAAATGATAAAGAATGAAGAATTGGAAACTAAACTTTCGAAATACAAATTATAAAAAATTATATATATACACAATATCAATATATATAGTTCTAAATTTCGTAGTGTAATTTGGTAGTGCTATATTCATATCTTATACCCGAAAAAGATGGTAAAGACAGTAAGTAGTGGCCCATGTATAGATAGATAGATAGATAGATGTATAGATAATAGGATCTCATGTATAATCATGCTGCAATAAAAATACTGACCAGGATATTACATACCTACAACATTAGTTTGAAAAAATAATAAATAATAATAATAATAAATAATAATAATAATAAATAATAATAATAATAAATAATAATAATAATAATAATAATAAATAATAATAATAAATTTATCAAATTAGATTAGGCAACAAATATAAAGGTAGATGATTTTTAGACTGAAATTTGAATTTCTACACATTAAAATTGTCACAATGAATAGTTAAGTCCGGTCCCTTTATAAAAACTACAGAAAAAACTATAATATCAAATTCGTTATAATGTTTAAGAGAGTGGATCAAGGCATATTATAAAGTTTTTTAAATACTATTATAATATAATAACTGCCGCAGTTAAATACTATATTTATATTGTGTATGCGATTTATGTTATCACTACGGCAAATGCGATTTTATAATAAGATGTTATGCTGAAAGAAATAGATTTTTCGCACAATATAATGTAATGATTAGATGAGATTGAACTGCTACTTTTTTAATAAAATGATTGTTAATAAAATTAATAATGCAGGAAAAAACTTTTAGTTTCGCAACATATTGTTATTTCAACTCATTTCACTGATTAGCAATATTTGATCTGCTGTGTAAACGATAGACCCGGTCATACACTTACGAAACCTTCCTTACAAATGTCAAGATCGGCCTGGTCCAAACTGGTTAAAAAACTCACCGTTGTCTGCTTCAAATCGTAACTCGCTCAGCATTCAGTAATCGGTATTGACTGGTCACTGCATACTAGAAAGACATGCTTATGAGACTGGGCTTGCCATATAATAGCTTTTGTTGGAGTTGTGACTCTGTGGATGGAGCGGAAACTGTACTCCACCTTATGTGAGTGTTTATCATTTGCTAGGCGAAAATTCAAGCCCCTTTTCTTACCCATCTGTTACCCTGACAGATCTGTTATCCTGCAAAATTAGGGGTTGACTTATAAGTTTGGCTTATTTAGGAGTGGGAGAATCGTACTTTTCAGTGTTGTTTGTATGTTCAAGATTGTAATTCATTTGGGAATTCTTCTGGTTTGTGTATGGACAAAGCTGAAAGATACGACCCCCCACTCAAGTAAAAGTGAACTAACCTGACCACGTTATTACAATGGCTCATTATTTAATCTCAGCTGGAATTTGAGTAGTAGGTCGCCAATTTAACCTAGTATGTGATTGGATGAAGGTAGAGTGAGAAGAAGAAGGATTGTTCTTGCTTCGAACCAAAAAATTATGAAATTTAGGGACTTATTAACAACCTAGATTTTGATTTGAACTATGATCTACCTATATGTAATATCACATTAAGTCATATAACTTAATACATCATGCAATATCTCTAAGATTTTATCTGCTTACAATTATGGAATAAGGCTTAATAATATTTAATTGCAATATAATCAAACCATAATTTAATTATAATTTCATTATGAAAAATTTTTAATTATACGCTTTATGTAATTATGGGATATATGGGATAATAATCATATATGTTGTGTGTGTGTGTGTGTGTGTGTGTGATTATATTAAAATTATTATTTTCCTATATAATTTTTTAATATAAGTGCACTTATGTCACTTATATTAATAAAGTATATAGGAAAATACTAACTCTTTTTCTAATATAATTTTATATACAA